CCACTGTTACTCCATCATTTCCAGTAATCATATATGGAGGACTACCAAAGGCTGCTATAGGCAAGCATTCATAACCGTCGAAAAAGAATAATTCAGAGTTAGCTAGGATAAATTCAGAATCCTCATAGATGTTGCAATAAGAGTTATTGTAACAGATTGCAAGTGGCTCTTCGATATGAATCCAGTTTCGATTAATGTATGCTGTCGTCTGATACAAAATCCCTACGAATGGAAACACAAAGTGAGTCGGTGGAAAGAAGAATATCTCTGCTGGACAAGACAGAGAATATTCTTTGTTTAACTGATAATCACAAGTGTCTGTCATGTCAACAACTGGCTCATACAGGCAGGATAGATTGAGTAGATACCACATATACTGCCAGCAATGTGCAGTCATATTGGCTTCCTTGTTATAGGCATATATTTCTTTTACATACAACGAGTTTCGCTGACTATTGCATGTTTCATTGGTTATACTTTCTGGCCAGCGTCGATCCAAACATGAACCATCGCCACAGCTAAACTTAGCTAATCCACACGTATGTTCTTCACAGTCAACAGAAGCATCTGTAAAGCAGTTTGCACTTGCATCACGAAATTCTTGCTCATCATAAAAATCCATACAATCCATAGTTAAATCGAACGAAAAACTTTTGGGTACACACATACCATTGCGGCAACGATATTCGGTTTGTGAATCGCATTCATTCAGTTCCATTTCGAAACAATTTTCTTCATCGCGTCCATTTGTACAATCACGCATACCGTCGCAAATCTGTCGCCAGTCAAGACACATCGTGCTGTACGTTGTACAATTGAACAGCAAGTAGCAAGTGACGACGCCATTTGTTAACATATGAACATCACGTTTATGTTTGCTGATAAATGTCTGGTCGATGATGTCATCGAACGAGTTGGCTTTCACTAGAAATTTGTACTGACATCTTGTACCAAATAAGTTTTTTGTTGCTTGAGAGCAATCGCACCAAATTTGTTCGGCTCCATTGCCACTTTCCAAGTAGTTTGCATAAAGAGTAATGAGATCAATTGGAGCGAACAAATCGAATAGATCGACTACGGTCATGTTGGCTTGACGCAAAGCAAGAAACGTGTGATCTGTACCCCTACATGGCAAAGCATTGTCTTCACGAGACTCTGCTGTTCGTAAGCAATAGGGCACAAGATGACGACCATGATCATTGGATGTGCGTGCATAACGATACACGCAATCGTGATCACCATTGCTCAGCGGGTATTCTGTGTGGTACAAACGTAGAAAGCTTAATGACATGTCAGTGCTGGACAGGAAAAAAGTCACAATAAAAAAAGTCAGCATTTCCAACTGATCCGTGTATTTCGGAAAAATGAGATAGAAAAACCATGACAAGGTAGAAATCATTTTTTTAATGGTGACGCACATAGCATATCATGTTTGCAGGCACGTTTGGGATACGTGACATAAAAATAGGTATCGCTTAATAAAGAAACCTGTTGTCTGTGCTTGTTGTCCGTCGAGAAAAATCATCAAATGATAATCTTCGGCTGCATAAATGGTTGAGCAGAATATTAATAATTGTTCTCAGCTATATGAAACGCTGATCAACTATATGAGTAGCTGTGCATCGGACAAACATATGTAAAAGTTTCGACATCGGACCAATGCTAAAATGCGCGCTCAGGGTCGTTGCAAAGCGAATTCGGCAGAGGTATACCATGGAGATCACTGACAAAAGTGATAGAACGAAAAATTTTTCATTGTAAAAAGCTGTTAGCGCAATCCCTTGCGGGATTAAAAATGTGAAACACGATGTAGCTGCTATAGCCAATGTTCTAAAAGCTGTTGTTTTTTATGCATATCGATGTACATTTCTTCATAATGGTTTACCTTACAATATAGACTTTCAAGAGGATAATACTCCATCTATGCTTCAATCATATGTGAGTTATGCATCATTTCTGATATTTCCTTGAAGTCTTCTATCGCAGTCTCTAATGAGCCCTGAGTCCTGTCTGTCACGGTCTGTGACGGGTCCAAAATCTGTCTGTAACGGTCTGTGATGGGTTCAAAGCCCTGTCTGTCACGATCTGTAATGGGTAATTAGTTAATTACATAGTAATTAATTAAAATGACTGTCACGATCTGTGGGGGAGGCTAGAGAGCGGGAAGAGTGGGTCCAAAATTTCTATCCTAAACACTTCAACACTCCTTTCAGATCGTTTTTCACAAAAGACTCATCAACAAGAGAAATAGAAGAGGAACACTAATGATAATGAATAAAAGTCGTCAACTCTCAAGGAACTGATCTCATTAATTCGGCTTTGCCTTTCGACGAGAGCAATGAGAAGAGTTCCTCAGGCCTAAAATGGCATCAACACATTCGAACAGCACGACTGTTGGATCGGTAAGAAACGACTGATGAAAGGGTTTTCGAATGGACTTCGGTACGAATCGTCCGCTTTTCGAACCTAAATGTTACGCTCAACAGTTCTGTTGATTCAGCGATGGGTCAATTAGAGTCGAATAAAAAGTACTGGAACGTGTGGAAGCAATGCGCGTCAAACGACCAATAAATGCCTTGGTAGTCTAGGTGTAAACAGCACGAAAGAATCACAGCGCAACTACACCGGCAATTTAAAACGTTCAATTGTGTTGAACATCGGCGACGTCGTGGAAGAAAGTTAAAGCTGAGCCGAACGGCAACCAATATCGATGCTTATGTGACTCGACTAAATCAAAAGTCATGGAAAGATCAATGTCGGCAATTGAGGGTGTGTGGGTGTGGTGTGGGTGGGTGTGGGTGGGTGTGGGTG